AGATCCATGCAGGTAATTGTGCTGCCTAAATTCTGTTTGGTTGCAGGGATATAAGTTGTTTCTGGAAAAAATAGGGATCTCTTCCCCCAGAATGTAAGCTATTTTATGTATAATATACAGTACTCTTGAATCGTTAACCCACAAAATAAGAAAAACAGAACTACTTCAGAAAAAAGTCTTAATTATTTTTCAAAATAAAATGATTTTCCATTATATTTAAAGATTCGAGAAAAATAATTTCTACACACACTGGAGAGTCCGTGAAATATTTTGGTGAAAACAATTGGACTCCCAACTTGTTTTGTTCTCCACTGATGCTCTATATCAATGTCTTGCTATCCTGTTACTGTTATTTCAGGGCATGCCAGGAGCACCTGGAATGAAAATGTATTCAAGGGAAGATCTGATGAACCAAAACATAGGTGATGAAGATTTAGACGAAGACGATGATGACGAGGATGACTTCCCAAAGAACTTAGTAAACACAAATCTCTATTTTGAAAAAAAATTGCGAGAAAGAGCACAAAAACTGAAAATTTTGTATACTCATTGCAGGGTAAAGCTCTTAATAAAGGAAAAGAAACCAAGAAGCTAGATTGGAAGGAGAACGTCATCAAAAGATTTCAAGAAGCAAGCAGGACCATGAAGAGACATGCAAACACAGTCTCTTACAGGTTAAGGAGGTGGTGGAAATCAAAGAAGGAAGAACTACAAAAGAGGTCGAAGTCCAGTGAGACTGAGCTGTAGTAGAGCCTGGCCATCAATGGTGCGAGATTGAGATAAAAGTGAACTGCAGGTGTAATTATTTCTACTACGTATATTTTATGTTTTCTGCTTAACATAAAATATAGTCTGAGCATTTTTTTGAACCTTTATCCGGACCACTATGCACATTTCAATGCTTTTCCTTCTATCAAATCACTTCATTGTTCAGACAATGAAATTCATGGTTGTGGCAAGAGCAAATGAATCTTTGTAAATGTCCAAAATCAAAATAGAATTGGAAGTACGACCTATGAAGCAATGATTTGAAACAGAATTTACAAAATTGATCTATTTCGAAAGAAATGTGACTTAAACGAGCTACCAGCTTTTCCGTTTTTGTTTGGTACATGAGTTTTTCTGAAAACGTTCATGCTTGTTTTAAAGTGGGTTTTCTGGCGACATTACTAAAATAATACGGAGTATTCATTTACAAAACACATGACAACTTTTTAAAAACTTCCAAAATTTGATTATACATGTGACATTGAGTGCCATTGCAACTGTGAGTCTGGAATTATTGATGCTGCTACCAATGACACAATGTCACCCATAGTGACACCTATAGCTGAAAATATCTGGTGAGTTTTGATCACTTGGGGGTGGGGGGTTCTGGGTTTTCTACTGATTTTAGTCATATGATTATCTATCATAAACCATTAGGTAAGTGTCTCTTTCTTTTCGTTACCACTATTTCGATACAGGGGTAGGTTCTTAACATATATGACAAGCTTTTCATACCAGGTATTGAGAACCAAATTGAACCAGACAATGTACTCATAAAACACTTGTAAGCTTTTCAGCTATTAAAAATCATACATAAATGGTCAATTAGCGAGGCAGTAATAGTGCGAAGCGAACTAGTTCAATTACAAGTTAAATCGCATGAGGAATGAGATTGAGCAATCTACTTATTTTTTTAATACTAGCTCAAGATGGCAATTTTCGTTGGAGTTTGAAGATGGTGTGAATGCTAGTGCTGTTTTTCATCTAAACGAGTCAGGATTCAGAGTTACTGAAGAGACTACCTACCATCTACCACCCACATTTAGACTGAATAGACGTCATAAAATTGATGTTCAAATTTATCTAAACTTTAGTTAGGAGTAACTCCGGTCACTCCAGTGGATCCATATTCGATGAGCTAACATAAATATTTCAATTACCGCGAACTTAAGGTGATGGAAAGGGTACCACAAGGCTTTATGAGTTTATGAGTCTATTGCCCCCCCGAGACATGTTATGTTAGTATATACTCCGTATGTCCTAGCGACAATCACCTTTTAGAGATACATGTACTTGATCACATTCAGTTTTATATATTCTATGATATATACGCGGTATTACACATTGATGATTAAGTATTTCGATTGTCAATATCTTATTCATAATTGTGTTCCCTTGGACTTATGTTGTCAATAAGTAAGTGTGAGCTTATATGACATAACATAAGGTCCTAAAATATCCCCAATCAATGATCATCAAGAATGAGATATTGATGATACGTGATAAGATTTGTATGTGGACTGCATCATACTTTTAGAAAGTATACTTGATCTCACAACTATGAGTTCCTGTCATTCATGATGGTCACATAGATTTTTTAGAAAATATTGGCATACCCGTCGAGAAACCATTTGATAAGTTCTATTCATGTGTCTATGGATTATCAGCGTATAGTGTAATAGTCCTCCGACTTGAGGTCAATACGTACTACATGTGCGGAGTGATGTAGTTTGACCATGACCAACGCTTGCACTCCAATCGGGGTAGATACGGCATGTGTTGGGTGCATCACGAAGCACATGGAGTAGTAGTTGAGCCAAGAAAGGATTCATTCCTCATAATAGATTAAGAGAGAACATTCTACTTCTCATGAAGTATTTTCTTGGCCTAGAAGTTGCACGGGTCTGCTTGGTATTTTTTTATGCCAAAGAAAATACGTCCTGGATATTTTGGCTGGGACCGGCCTGACAGGAGCTAAACCCGTTGAATTTCCTATGTCCCAAAATCATGGCCTTCACTCTCATGATAGCCCATTTTTTCGGATCCTGAGCGGTATCCACGGTTTGTAGGAAAGCTTATCTATATCACACTTACACGCCTAGACATTAATTATTCTGTCCATATTCTTTCACAATTCATGCAAGCACCTCGGCAAGCACACTGGGACGCAATTATCCAAGTACTCCGCTACCTCAAGGGTCGACCGGGCCAAGGGCTTATATTCCGCCGCAACTCACCACTTACTCTTTTTGGCTATTGTGACTCAGATTGGGCTAGTTGTCCCAATACCCGGCGCTCGGTTACGGGCTATTTTGTGACACTAGGAGGCTCTCCTATTTCTTGGCGGACCAAGAAACAAGCTACAATTTCCCGCTCCTCCGCTAAAGCCGAGTATCGTTCTATGGCTACTCTTACTTGTGAGCTCTTATGGTTAAAGAGTCTATTCTCATCACTCCGCATTAAACTGTCGCCAATCAAGCTTTTCTGTGACAACAAGGCAAATCTTCATATTGCTTCTAATCCTGTGTTTCATGAGCGTACTAAGCATATTGAGCTCGATTGTCACTTTATTCGTGACCATGTGAGATCCGGTACTATCATTCCTTCCTAACACCTACCTCAAATCAATTGGCAGACATCTTCACTAAAGCTTTGGGAGCATCACAATTTCATTTTCTTCTAGCCAAGATGGGCATTCCCATCCCCCATACTCCATCTTGAGAGGGGTGTTGATAATATTTGTATATATTATTTTTTATTAATCATCTTTATCTCTTGTAAATGGCACACGTGTAGCTTGCGTATAGGGTTAGAATTCTTCATCCATGTAACTTACGTACGTAGTCTGCTAGCCCTCAAATTCCTCTTGTATATATTTCGCATTGTTGTACTCGCATAAGGTAACCATCAATAACAAAAGAATTCTTCTGCCTCCACTCTAGATTTCAATTGCTAATTTTAGTACTTTTGTTGTCCTTTGCTCACTTTCAAACAAGTGATGGCTTTAAAGCATGTTATGAACTTATGATGATTGATTTCTTCCGAGCGTGGGTTAGAGACTCCTTGTTCACACTTAGTCATGAATAAACTCTTATTTAAAGTTATGAACTCTTAAATTTGTATTGGGATTTGTCTGTGCATTCAGCTAAGATTTATTAAGATGTGGCGATAACACCCTTTTCATTTATTATCTTTTGTTGTGTTACTTCAAATTACAATATGAATGAGTGCTTTGGGGTGTTATATTAAGTTATATCACTGTTTTGGGAGGGGTACTTTGGGGTGTTACAGACATAATAATAAAATTCAGGAAAATGTGTCCAAGTTACAGAGACAGCGGGAGATGTGTAAAATTGAAAATTCATACCTATACACTTTTATAGCTTCACTAGTGACCATCAATCTTGCCATGGCAATGCCTCTAACATACACTAATGGAAGCTCTGTCACTTGTTCAGGATTCAGGAAAGAATAATCCACTAAAACCACAGCATCATACAGAAGTTCTGTAAGCAACACCTCATCCTCAAAGCTCTGGTTGACACAATAATATATAAGGTTAGTGATTAGAAATCTTTAGTATTAAGACTTGCAATTTTATACTAAAAGTTCAACCCGATAAGAGAAATATATGAGTAAACATATGAGAAATCTTCCTCAGTGCAGTTGATCAATCTTGAAACTCGTGTTCTTTTTTATTATTCATTTGAGTTTAGTCAAACTATGCAAAGTTCTACTTCTCAATAGTGGATAGACGTTATGAATGATGAGCTTAAGTCCATAACATACAATGACGTATGGGAACTTGTAATGTTGCATGAAGGTGTGAAACTCGTTGGCTATAAAAGATCATCCTAAAAGAAGGACCTATCACACTCAGCCTTATACTTGAGTTTATATCTTTATAAAATGAATTAATATTCCAGGCATCAATCTAATAAAGAAAATGGAATTCATGGTTAATATTATTATATATTTAGAAGCTGGTTATTTTCACAACTACTTAATTGTAATATATGTAGGTAAATTAGGATATAGCAAACAGCGCAGAGATAATATCTGACCAGTAGAGAAGTTGTTGGTAAAGATGGATCAAGCAACATTAGTAGGAGGGTCCCTGATCACATGAAAAATAAGAAAACTTTAAAGTTCATCTTCAGAACCATGGAAATCCAATGAACATTCAGCTAAAAGGAAAGGTCAAAATTTTGTAGGATAAACATAAACACTGACCATGAAAGAAAGGGTTCCGAAGAGCACTTATTGAACATGCAATCCATAACCTCAACTCACATTTCAATTCCTTTCTTGAACTACTACATTCATGAAAGTAACAGCACAGTTTCAACAAAAACGGTTCTACAGTTACCAACCCAGCCAGCTCACTTAATTGTAACTCTCCGCATCTAATCCTTTCAACAGAATGATCGCTCAGAAGTGAAAAAAAAAACTCTCTCAGAGAAGCATTTTTACTATCCCCAATCCAACCATCAACTAAATTCCCTACTTGCCTAATTAGGCCTTCCATAGCATCCAAGTTACCACACATCCCATCAGAGCATATGTTAATATACCCAAGAATTGAACCAGCAAAATCTAGGGGTGGGATTTTGGAACCGGGAACCGTTAGATCGGTTGGAACAGAACTGTTATAATCCGGTTCGGTTCCTACAAATGAGATATTAGTTGTTAACGGTTCGGTTCCTAGTTGTTGTTAACGGTTCGGTTCCTGGTTCCTATAAAAAATATATGCACGGAACCGTTAAGGAACCGATATTAAAAATATAAATATAAAAATATAAATAATAGTAGTAGTATTAGTAGTAATACTAATATAACAAAAATAAACACAACAACAACAATAATAAATAAATAAATGATATTTATCCAATAATTTTAATTTAGTTTAATCTATAAAAACAAAAATAATAAATATTTGCACATGAGGTTGAATACATTAAGCTCATTTTTACAAATCAAGTTTTGTTTCATCAATAGGATGTACATGCAAACTCAATGTATTTCTAGATTTTGAGAGGCATAAAGTGTGCGTCCTATCATTGCCACTATAATGATGAGCAACCTTCATTTCAACGACATAACGAACGATTTTTATATTTTATGTATTAAATGAAAATTAAAATCTTCTTTTTATTCTATTAAGTGTTCACTTAAGTCCGAGCTTTGATGTTTGGAGTGATTAGAACTCTAAATAAATGTTTATGACTTGTTTTGACTTTTTGACGTTTTCATGTGGTAGAAGCTAAACTATGTGTTAATTCTTACACGAAAAAAAATATTCTAGGAACCGATAAAAGCAAGAACCGAACCGTTTAGTATTGGTTCGGTTCCATATCGGTTCTTGATTTTTTATATAGGAACCGAACCGATTTCATTTGTTAAAATTTAATAACAGTTCCACTATTTTTGAGTAAGAACCGAATCGGTCCCAGGCCTAGCAAAATCCTTAACCTTTTCTAGGAGGAGTTTCTTCTTCTTAGAACTCATCTCAAGACACTTAAAATTAACTATAAACCGATAAAACCCATACACAACAGGCCCAATCAGCACAACGCTTTTCCATGAATTAAATGAAGCGGAGCAAGCAACAACGGGCTGACACAAATCTTTTATGGATACAAACTGCCTCGAAGGTCGGTCGATTTTTGCCGAACTAGAGCTCTGGAAGTCTAAAGCATAAAAGAACCAGACCGTTTCTAGAGGTGGGTTGGGTTTACGTCGCAACAATTCTTGAAAGTTTGAGCACAAAGATTTATTCTTTGGGAAATCGGCATCGCGAAGGGAATCCAAAAGCTCTTGGATTAAGTTGTTTAGTGCTGTTTGATAATTTTCTCCGATAAAGCAGTCATATTTCTCTGATTCAATCAGCGTTGAAGCCATGGCTGCCAGAAACAGGACTCGAGTCAATGTTAAAATGCTAACCCTGGAGAGAGTTCACAAAGATTTAGCGAGCAGCACTCCATCTTCATCAAATTAAAAAGAGCAGCGGTTTATCTTCATCAACCAGAAGCTTAACGAGCAGCGCTACATCTTCATCAACAAGAACCTTCACCTTTATTTCCGGTTCTTCATCTAGCTATTTCCTTATATTTATTTGTAATTCTCTATCTTCATTTACATATTACTTTTCTAATTTTAATATCCACCGGTTCTCATCATTTTGCTTTTCCCACTTCATACGGCCTTTAGCTATTGTCTTCTATAACCACATCTCCCAACTATTATTGAAACACAAAATGAAATCTGAAGATTGAATTCGTATTTCCCCCCTATTTTAGGTGTGTGTTCATTCAATTAAATGGTTAAAACCGTGTTTGGATTCAATTAATTGAGCTTATGTGAAAAACTTAAATTTATATTGATTTCCCCTTGTTTATAATTGAAACCATGTGTGGATTCATCTAGGTTTTTCTTTCATAGTAATTTGTTTATTTATTTATTTTCATTTGTGTAACATTTTTTTCACCGATTTGTTCAACACTAGGCAGGTTGGTTTTATAAAAAGTGTTCTGCGCATTTTCTTGAAGTTTAGTTGAATTCTCTGTTTTATGTTGCTGCACATTTTCTTGAAGTAAACAATTTTTTTCATGATTTTAGTGGTGCACATTTGTCTCTTATCTTGGTAGTTTTTTCCAGCATCTTTCTGCAAAAATTGGGGCAGGTTTGGTTGCTCTTTTTTGCTTCATTTTGCTGCATACATGCATCAGTTTTTCTGTGAGGAAAGTATCAAAATGGCTAAAATTGTTGTTGAAAACGATGACGTGGCTAAATTGTTGTTGAAGTGGTTAAAAAGTTACACGTCACCCTAGTTTTAAAAAAAAAACTAAGATTTAACACGTTCATTGCGTCAAGATTGACGGAGGGATAGCATCTCGAAACTGCAGATCACAAAGCAGAAACAGAAGCTTCTCTTTGAATTGTTTTCATAATGGGATAAATTGAAAGAAAGGTATGGTTTAAGGCTTGCCCTGCATGTCATGTTTATGATCTCTTTGCGAATTTTAGATCTTAGCTGCTATTAGTTGCCTATTGAGTTATTAGACATAATGGTTTCATGGGCTGCAATTAGTTCCAATTTGCTATAATTGTTTAAAGAATCATGTAGCAAGAGAAGAGTAAAATAAAATGAATAAAAAGAAGAGGATAAAATAAAGAAGAAGAAAATATAGAGCAGTCTAGAAGAAGAGAGAAAGAAAAATAAGAAAACAGAGGAGATGAAGCGTAGAGGAAGGGAGTAGGCAACAAAAGAAAACGATGTGATAAAGTTGCAGGTAGGAGTGGACTCGGGCCGGGCCAACCGGCCCGCTACTGTACGGGCCCGGACCGGCCCGGTGAACTGGTTGGTTCCCGATTCGGTCCACCCGGCCCGGTGAGGTAGGCGGGCCGGGCCTGGGCCTCCTAAATCGTGAACCGGCCCGGCCGGTTCGGGCCCGATCCGGGCCAAATTATTTATTTTTTTTTTGAAGTTTTTTTAAGTTTTTGGGTTGGGCTGGGTATGATGGGCCATTTGAGGTGGTTTGGGTGGTTTGGGGGTGAGGGAGGAGGGTTGGGGGTTAATTAGGAAAAGCCAAAAAAAATACAAGAACCGAGGCCCGGCCCGGACCGGACCCGGGGTTACCTGATGTTGCACTGAAGAGATGAATGAGAACGTGGCGTACAAACTAGGGTTTGGTTGAAAAGCGTGATAGATGTGTGCAGAAAGTATGAGTCTATGAAATGATCCGCGAAACTCCAAAATATCAAATTTTAAATTCTCTTGCGTAAAAGGATTACAAAGTTGGATAGCAGCTCGTGTAAGCCCAATGAAGCTAAGGGCCCATATGTGTAAAACTCGGGCCAATAGACCCGTATTTTTTAGGGAATTCTTCACAAATGGATTTTTTTATCATCAATTATTCTTCACAAATGCATTAAAAAGTGAAAGTAATATCACTTTTTTTACTTTTCAAAACTTCTCTTAAAAATAGACTAGAAAGATTTGCTTTTCAAAAATAGACCAGGATCATAACGGAAACTTGTCTGCTTGTTAAGTAACGGAACGGATTGGAAGATTGAAAGTTGAAACCCATGCCAATTTTAAGCTTTATGGTTACACTTGCAAATTTTCATAATTTTAATACATTAAGAGAAAAATAAAAAATGATTTAAAGTTCAATCAAGAAACTGAAACGAATTTGTATGCTCTTGAGAGCACTTGTAACTTCTTCTTTTTTGTAAAAGAGAGCACTTACAACTTTAAAAAGTTTTTGATCATAAAAGAACGGCCGTTATATTAAAATCGAGAACAAATACAAGACAACCTTTAGACAGAAATTACAAATCCAATCGTAAACCCTAGGAGTAGGCATAGAATCAGTCACCTCATACAAAACAACATGACTCGCTAAACCTGAAACGGGCAAATTTAGGCCTAAAATGATCGCAACCGAAACTCTGTCTATCAAAAGAACTCCAAAAATCCAAACATTCAAACCAAATCTAGTCGTACTAAAACAGAAACAAGTGCTACTAAAGAGAAAATAATATTGAAATAAAATCCTTCCACAAAGCTCTTTCTGGTATGGAGGTGGTTCCGGAGGAGGACGAACTCTTACAATATGGATGAATACAAACTCCACCATCATCGAAATGGCAGACCAAAGCTTCATGAACCCGCTTTGTTACAACCTCCAAGCCGCACCTTGTTCATCCACCAACGTTATTTTCTCTGACTTAGTTGCAATCCCAAGCATTAGAACACCTAAAAGTAGTATAATCTGCCGATCCAGCTCCATATTGATAGAGGCGGCGGAAGATCTCAACCCCTACAAACAGGGGAGACGGCCGCTAGGGTTTTACAACTTTTAAAAGTTCAATAAGGTAATAAGTTATTACAATAAAAAATTACAAAAAGTAAAATCTTATAAATTTAAAAAAAAATGAAAAACACGTAAAATAAGAAACAAATGTTTTGGAACTGTTGCAAAACATTAAAAGTAATCATAAATCATTTTTTGAAAGAGTAATGTTTTTTAAATCGATATTTATACAAAGTAAAATCATACAAAATTCAAATAAATATAACAAAATTTGAATAAAATAAAATTCAACTAAATATATAGAAAACATGCAAAAATAAAATAAAATTTTTATGGTTAAAATAAAAATAGAAACAAAGATTCTTAAAATTTATTTAAAAATAAAATTTAATGATAACTAAAATTCATGTAAATTAAATAAAGCTGAAAATTAAAATTTCCAAAAAGCAAAAATATATAAAATTATAATCGTGAATTTTGAAAAAATATATATAAATTCGTAGCTTAATATTATAAAAATATTAAAAGCATTTAAAGTTTTTTATGAAAAGAGTATCATATTTAAAGTTTAAATATGAAAAGTATATAAAGTCTTTTGTCCAAACGCACATAAATAGTCCTACTGGGGCGGTTTCAAAGGTGTAGTCTTATTTGTGTTTTGGACCACTTTTTGTCCTATAACTCCTATTTGGGTAATTAACTCTATTTATAACTAAAGTATCATGTATAACATACTATTAAATTTCTATTAATATGACTTTCCAGAATGTAAAGTTTTTGTAATACTAACTAATACGTAATCAAATATAATTATTATCAAAGTTGTGCGTTGTCAAAATGAAGTCAAACGATTGCAATTAATAGAGGACATATAGTACCTAATAATTGAACATTTAACACCTAATAATAGGATAATTGCTTCAGCAACATTTTTTGCATTTGAAGCTATTCATTGGACATTGCTTCAGCATCAACATGAATCTAATATTTTTGGCAAAAAATAACTTACTTAATATTAAAACTGAGGACCAGATACAAGTTCGTCATAACAAAGGCTACACTCGGGTGAGACTCAGAGTTGGAATCACGCATACAAGCGGTCCATCTCGCTAACCCCCCAATTTGGTAGGCTCCATTCACAGCAATGTTGCACCTCCTACTAAAAGGAAATGCAAAAAACACAAAAGAGTTCTGAGACGACAACAAATTAAAGGAACATAGTCCAGTTTTTCCAGCCACTGGCAAGGGATCAACGATTTGAGCAGCCTCCGCTAAAGGTTCCTCATGTGTATCCTCAACGTCTTCTACTACTGGCGGTACTGTCGAGACAGCACCACCTCCAAGTTTTTGGAATTGCTTCATCCACGTCCATGCTTGCCTGAGCCCCCTCCTCGCTAATCTTCTCAGTGACCCTGTGTTTTCTTGGTGCTTCGTGAGTTGTAACAATCTCCTTGCCCTTTGAAAGGAGTCCTTCCACCATGTAACTCACCTGTTCACTTGTCGTTTTGCTCGGATCTGCTGTCTCGTCCCTCCTATCTACTGGCTTGTTATTACTAGGAATAAACCACCTGTTACCCGGATGCGATCCACCTCGCCTCGTATCAGCCCGTAGCCATGGCCCATAAGGTTTTTCCCCGATCCATGCGCCAGTATGCAAATTTGAGGGACAGAAACGATCAGCATGACCAAGAACCCCACAGAGAAAACAAAAGTTTGAGACTTTGAGGGCCTCTCATAACAAAAGTTTGCCCAAATCCAACTATCTCCTTCCTGTCGGACCTACAAGCGTAACCAAGGCCAAAGTAATACTCCCTCCAGTTCTCAAACAACTTCCCACTTTCCTTTTCGGGAAGTCCTAAAATTAACTTCACATTTCTTCTTATTTCCTTATTTGGCAAATTGTCTATACCAAAATAGTGCAAAATAGTGTCAAACAGTGCCAAACAGTGCCAAACAGTGCACTCCATAGTAAAGTCAAATGTATTTTCTTAATCTGTGTGAAGTCAAACTATGAAGGTCTTTGAGAACCGGAGGGAGTATTAATAGTGACTCTTATGCGCAGTACCAACCTATGTTTTCCGCCCAGAGAGCCCTCATCCACTTGCATAAGCGATCCGATGCTATTTGCTATTCCACGTGCTGCCCGTGCTGTCATGTAGCTTAACGGTAAATTGTGAACCTGAACCCAAAAATCCGCATGATCCAGCGGAACCAAAAGAGGCCTGTCGGTATGTCCCACACGTTTGATGACCACCAGATTTTGCTCAAACGACCAAGGCCCTTCATCAACAACTCTGCTCAGATCCCCTTCGTGATAGAACTGTAAGAGAATTTTAGAATCCTCAATCTCATCAATTGAAACTCCTTTGACTGGCAGAAGGATACAGCACGAATGGGTTTGTCAGATACCACTCAAGCCACAACCGCTAGATCGGAACCTTATTTAGACACGTCAACATTCTCAATCGAATCAGTTGCGA